AGTCGCTCCGGGTTTTATGTTTCCGGGTACAGAGCCATTTTTAGTTTTTTTTTTTAATTAATTTCTCAAAAACTATGAGTCCTAGGTCAAAACGGTTTGTACAGGCGTATTCTTTGATTAATTTTACATATAAAACTAGTTTTTCATAAGAATGAAAAATTTTTGATTTTTTCCGTTGAAATTTTTTTGGTCAATTTTTGGCACCCGTAGCGGTCTATTGCGAATAACTCCGGACTTATTGGTAATAACTTCTTATATTTGATACTGTTAGAAAGCAAATTTAATTTTCTATCATATTAAAAAAAGATCAGTGTTCTACGATAAATAGTTTTCGAGAAAATTTCTGATAAAGTCAAAAATATCGAAAATATAAATCCGACTGTAACTTCAAAACTACTACGAATTTTGCAGTTTAATTGACGCCAATCGATTCCCCGGAACATTTTACATATGTTCAAGTCAAAACATTATATCATTGAGGTACAGTTTTGCTGCAATTTACAAAATAACAAAAAGTAAAAATTTGTGAACAGATTCAATTTATATTTTTCAATCTATCTTATCCGATAGATTTTGACGAATTTGCCAGCATTTTGCGCTATGTTTTGGTTTATTTGTCCCCACATCAAAGGTTGTTGAAAATGACCTCGATTTTTGTAGTGCATTTAGTTAAATTTTCCGTGGTTTAAAATGGTCCGGTTTTCGCATATGCACTTTCTTTTGGCATCATTTTTTTTTGTTTACTGGATCATTATTAGAAACAAAATGAGGCAAAAAGTTTCCGTTACACTTTGTGGAGAGTTGATGATTAACTGTAACGGCATTAGGCATACTGGTTTATTATTCATTTGGTTATTTTCAAAACTTTATTTCAAAAGAGAATCTTTTATGTGTTTTTAGGTCCTGGAAAAATCCAGTCTTACAAAACTTTGAATTAATTACACGTCTCTGTTGTATATTTAAATAAAATAACAGTAGTGCGTCACAGAATTGAAGTTTTTATATGTTTGATTGCGAAATCAAAGTACATGAAGCGATTTTGTTGTGATTTGTTTTTTCTCACTGTAATAAAACTCTTGCATGTCTTGTGCAACACACCGCTCCTAAAACACGTTTGAAGACCCATAAATTTTAGATTTCATGGACAATCCGTTATGTTGGACCAACGATTAGATTTTTGGTAACATATAGTTAACTGTGATTTCACTCAAGACGAATTTTTAAAATTAAAACACATGAAATAGTTTCTAGTGACACAGTTCCAAGCTAGTGCACGTTTGACGTCAATGATTTAAAAATGTGGTCACGAATTCTAGCATATATAGTTAATGAAGTCTGTGTTAAAAATCTCCTATTTTTACAAAAAAAAAATAGAAAAAAAAATAAATTGTTACTTTCTAGCAATAGGCAAATTGCTTTCATTAAGCCAATTATTTGAAAAACGTTCTATTACAACCGGTTCGATAAATGGCACTTAGGTGGCGTAAAATAGGTATCTAATAACCAACCGTTGTTCTCTCCATTTCAGAATTTCAGAAAAATATTAAATATAGCTTAGAGAAGCAAGGAAGCTACTTTTTATAACAACAAATCAAAATTTTACAATAGACGTTTCAAATAAACGATCTAAGTGTCCTATGACTTTGAAATTAATTTGGCAACACTGACTATTAAACGTCACATTTTTAAAGTCAATTGTCATTCATTTGCGCGACACAAACTGATATCACCAATAATTCGGTGTTGCCAACTTAGAAATATTTGTCAACTAAAACCATATCCGGTTGCAATGTTGCAATCAGATTGATTGACTTGCACTAAAAATCTCGAGTGACAGATTTGAATAAGTTACTTTCTTATCATTGTTTGGTCACGATGAATGCAATCGATAGCATCTATTCAATCGGACTAACGGGATAATTATATTTCCATTACAAATTTTTAAAATTCGTGAATGTTTAATGAAGTATTGTTACGAGCAAATCAAGTTTTGCCATTTGTATTGATTTAAATTTATTATAATTATTTAGAAATTTAATTTCTATGCTTTAATTAACGTACTATAACTTCAAACTTTGAGAGTGTAAACCAGACTTTAATTTTAGTTCCAAAAAAGTTACTAATGTGAACGTTCTTTATTCAGTCTGAAAAAATTATATAACCTATTTGTTGTGAAAAAAACGTGAATATAGGAGAGTTCAAGCACAAAAAACACTTGAAAACATGACGTATCTTCAACCAGAAGGTGGAATCGTACAAAAATGAACAAACTAGAACTCTCAAAATACACATGTTGCCACCTTAAATTTACATTTCCATCACCTACCGAGATGTTAATCACGAAGTATAAACTAGAGTGACCTGTGACTTAAATTAAGTTGGCAACAAATTTGACAGTCACAAGCCACTTGATCAACTCGAGCAATTTATTGACTGATTGACTTTCTGCGCGAGCAGCAGAACTTGTGCTTTATTTATCCATTAATTAATTAATTCTCTGTTTTCCTTATTCGGTCAAAGAAACGACTTCATGAATTTTGCGATTGAAAACAGACATTCACACTAGTTTTTTTTTCAAGTGACAGTTGTGTGATTATTTGTTATAAAAATACAATAATTAAAAATGTAATAAATACAGGGTGTCCCAGCGAGTTGAAAAAGTCCATTAGTGACCTTTAAATGGAGAAATTAAAAAAATTGTTTAGGGCATTGATAGATGCTTATCTAAAATTATTATCAACCATACAGCATGTCCCAAAAATAAGTTACGATACAAACTTGTGTTTTTTCTAATGAAATACCGTATGTTTCGTGGCATTTTCGGATGAAGTCTTTTAAAACTTATCCGTTGATTTATCCAGAGATTGTAAAAGTCGTTATTACTAAAACGTGATAGCTCCAACTCTCTCAACCTGTGAAAAAATTAATTTAACTTACTCTCTCGCGCAGCAGCAATTTTGGACATGCTAAAAGTGAAAAACGGCAAAATGCGGAGACTAAGCAAAGATAGAAAAGAAAAATTTAATGAAAAAACTATCGATCGCGAAACTTTCATGGCTGAAAAAGGCCTGAAAGTGCCTAAATTTTACGTTTTAAAAAACCTTAACCAAGAGTGCGTTGGATGTCAATTATTCAATTTGACACTTCTAATAGTTGTTGACATTTTGCGCCAAGAAATAAATTTACTAAAATTTGTACCAAAGATAATTTTTTGGTACTGAATCTATTGGTTTAGAATATCTTTTCCCCAAACGCAACCTTAATTCTCGGGGTTTCGTTTTGCTTTTCAATCACAAATGCACCAAAGAATGATTTAACATTTCTCTTTTAATTGACCAAATACGATATAAAGATCTTTAAAATTAATTAAGTAATCGATGCAAGATGCGAATCCAAAAAAAATCGAAAAATTCTAAATATCAAAGCTGGATGTTTTTTTAATTTCAATTTTCTTCATATAGGGTGATTTTGAAATTCTCAACAATACTTAAACTGGAATAAGTATTTAAAAAATTAAAATTACGTTTCTTCATCCCCATTTTTCGTAACTGCCCGAAATTTTTATTTTAAATCAACGGTGAGTCACTGCCAAATTCACTTAAGGTTTTGGTTCATAACGATTTTCTCCCTTATTATTGACTATTTTCACAAACGTAACTCTCAAGCTGTATAGGTTTAAATAGTGTATATTTTAAAATCACCCTGATGTATAATTATAAATACTGAAATTCGAATTATTTTATTGTAAAAATAAAGAATAATGGATTCAGTTTATCACAAATGTGATTATTAAGTGATATTTCTTCCATCTCTTGTGCAACTGTGCACTTTTTGGCTACTGAAACAATAGTAATTATTTTTAATGTTTAACGTTAAATATCTTTTTAGTTATTGATTATAAATACCCAAAAGTAAATTAATTTAATTTTAGAAAGACTATTTAATAATTTTTTAAATGCAAAAACAATAAATAGGGTGTTCCATTTAATTTTTTTATGTTATTAAACTTTTAACAAACGCCTTAATTTTTTTTATATTTGCAAATGGAACACACTAACAAAATGTTACAACCGTATAGCTTGTACCTTCTTCTTTGTGGTAATAAAAAAATATTGTGTGACACATTTTTAAAAAGTGCATGTCTTCGTAAAAAAAATAAGCAAAATCGACCAATAAAAGTTTGGCTTAAAAACACTGTCATAATAAAATTATTTTTGAGACACGCTGTATAGTTGAAAATAATTTTAGGCTATGGACTAGATTTAGTATCTATCAATGTCCTATATAATTTTTTTAAATTTTACCATTTAAAGGTAATTGACTTTTTCAACTCGCTGGGATACCCTGTATGTAATTAATATATTTTCTTAAATTAGCTTTTGTAATTACAGTTAGATGACAGTGTGGGTTAAAAACCGCTTAGTTCCGCATGATTTAGGGTGAATGCAACTGAAATCATAGTTTCAGGAATGAAGAACCTAATGTTAAGTTCCACTAGATTACGTGTAAAAAGTGTCAAATAACGCATGTTTTTTCTGTTTTAATTTATAATGCCATTAAACAACGACAAACCTTTTACTTCCTCGTGTGATATTCACGATTTTTCCCCAACTTTCCATAAAATGAAATAAAATATAAATACAACGAACGGTCTTCCATCATTAGAGAAATGTTGATTTGAGTATAAAAATCGCCTTCTTTCTCTTTCCTAGCGGTCATCGTCACGTATAGGTATTTTTCTCAACAATAATAATTATAATTCCTCCTCACGCACGTATCGTATAGCAAGTCCATAATCCACAAAGAATGTGTGTTAACCGTTTTATTACGACTTTTTAGAACAATGGCAATTGTTGATTTCGGGCACAATAGGAGCAGTGGGCGTAAGAGTTGCTTCTTGTTTCTAGACCGAAACAATTTTGTTTTTGTGGGGTCACAAGGTCGAGGCAATATTGTCAAGATTGTCGTTTTGCTCATCAATCATTCACCGAATGACTTACCAAAAAAACCTCACAATTGTCTCTCGTTTAGGCACATTTTAAACGCAAAACTGTATCATGTGAGACGGGGCTCCTATGCGAGCACAGGTCACGATGAGACTGACTTTGGTTGGCTTGCTAGTGGTGCTCTAGGACGGTTATCCTCTCTTTGTTTCACTTTTACGCGCTAGGGATGTTGGTAATTGGCCAGTGCGGAAACGAAAATTTCCTGCCTTCATTCATGCCGGCGCGAGTGATTTCAACGTGAGATCACAATGCGAAATCAATTCGCGTTTTGTTATCGGGAATTGATTTTTTTTTTACAAACGTTGTGTGTGTATATGGCATTACAACTTTCATGGTGTGTGCTACCATGAAAAAGCGGTACTTTCTTGCAAGAAAATAGGAACAACAGTATATGGCGAACTCGGGCCGTATGTACTTTCAGTTATATGTAGTTTATTAGATACGGTTTGTAGTTTATCTTTTCTGTCAGAAAGTACAGTTAGCAAATTTCCTTATTCAAGACATTATGAAAATTGATGATTCTCTCTTACAATTGGAGGAAAAGTGGCTGAAAAATACCATTCAGCTTTTGATGAATTTAGATGTTTGTCTGGGAGAAATGAGAAAATTATGATTTTGGTGACAATTGAAACCACGAACTTTAAAAGTAAGAAAATCAATAACACATTCTTTTAATTACAAAAACTAATAAATACAAAATTTGCGCACTTCTATGAAATTGAGTAGTCCCCCAGAGTACTGAAAAAATGTTTAAAAAAATCTGTCAAAAAATGTTGWGATATATTTGACATATTTTTATGTCTATTTAATGATACTGATAATCTTGTATATGTTTTTTTATAATTATTTAAATAAAAGCCACACTAAACAGAGTTACAATTTAAAATACAGCTTTCTTATTTCTTCCTCTAATAGCCTGTAGCAAAAAAACTTAAAAAAATATTTTTTAACAGAAATAAATAGTCAATGTGCAAAATTTAAACTCTTATAACTTCAAAATTTTTATAMATAGAATTTTTTCAACATTTTTTCAGTACTCTGGAGGACGACCCATTTACTCATTTTCAAGAAAGTGCGCGAATTTTGACACATCCTGTATATTCTGATGTGTGTCTCCCATTGTGTGATTGCAGTCGGAGAGTACTTTAATAGTTAAAATTTTTTTATCATTTCTCGAATCTCGAACCTCAAGATATTTTAATTAATATTTATTTATGTACCAAGAGAATAAATAACTATTTTAATCCCGAGAATGTAAATTAATATAAGAAAATGATAATT